AACGCGATACTATGTGTTTAAATGCAATTTGATTCACGTGCGTACTCATTTAACGCGAAAACATTTAGTAATTACTTATTTTGAGCCGCAGGATTGTTATATGTTGTTTCCTAATTATAGACACGTGTTATTATGCAAACATTTTATTAAATACGTACATAAACAACAAATACTCACTGAAAACCGAGCTGAAAACAAATAAAATTTAAACATTCTAATACACACATCTGCCTTTTTTAGCGTAACACAACGAAGTTGAGGTAACGCTTATGTGCTAGTTATTCCGTCGTCTGCCTATCTGTCTGTTCCATCGAGATCTCGGCCCCTGGACCACCTAGAGACTACAGGTTTTCGGTCATTTGTAGTTGCAAAAGTCTATATTTTCCCGTTACTCATCATTTACATCCTTTTCATATATGATGGCTGATTTTCAAAAATGGTGGGATACGTGTCTTCGGCAAGTTTAATCTGGTCTCGTGGAACTGTTAATACTGTATCGTCTTATCTAGTCATCTTGTCTACCCGAATAATGAAAATGTCGGAGAAATGCTTTATACAAACCCTGGAGTAACTAGTAATTTCAAAATTGTCCCGGTGAATACATTTTAACCACTTTTTGTGATTGTCTTCATTTTTCGGAAAACGAAAAACCGTAAGGAACCTTGTCTCTTGAACTATAATTGCTTTTGCAACCAGGGACGCAGCACGTATTTGGCATTTTCTTACTTATTCTGTTCGACTACAGTTAATTTAAGTATACATTAAAAAATAAGTTAACATAAAAGTTACTTGGAATTAATTACATTAAAAGTCGATATGACGACCGCCGTCAGTTGTGACGTCAACGCAATAGTGGGGATGAGTGTCACGGCTAGTTCTATCGGTAGGCTACGGCTAGCCACAGCAAATTTTTTATCGCTATTTTAAACTAACTTTTCGTTTTCTCACAGAGACTTGCTATAACTAGACTGCGCTTAACGTATCTAAGGTGTTGTCGACACAGTATGCAACACACAATGCACCGCGGGGCAAAAATCGCTGAGATGATATGCAATATAATGAAATAAGCTGATATTTTAGATGTTCCGTTCATTAATCATTCTCGTGATTAGCTCGAATTAGTGAACAGATAAATTTCTGTTGAGAATAAACCAATAAACTTAGGTTAACTTGTGCCTATCAACATGTACTCTGTCGATAAATTTTTAAATAATACGCTGATTTTCAACGGATAAAAGTTTAAAGGGCCAATGGATCAGAGCCATTCGAAGAGAAAAATTTACTCCCACCATAATGCATTTTGCGGGGAATGAAGCCGATTTTAGAAAGGTACCTACGAAGGTGTTAAACAATAATGCAATACCGAGCGTTTTCGACTTTCCCATTCACTTAAAATAACGTAGAACTATTATTCGACATCCTTTACCAGCAAGACAACGGCAGTACCTATTTGTCTATTAGGTATAGACGTAACTAAGTACTTACTGGTACTAAGTATATTTCAGGTTTTGTTACAAGAAAAATAGGTAAGTCTGTTAAATGTTCCATATGTGCAGATGCGATATTCGCATCAGAGAGTCATTCAAAGCTTTTAACTAGAAAAAATCGTGGAGGATTGTTGCACGTATCAAGCGATGCATTAAAAATTTGCCAAATTGCTGAAAATGTGTTCAGGTTTTTCATTCAATCCACACCACACCGCGTTGTAAACAAAATGGTTATCAGCAGTCTAAGAAAAATAAATAACAGTTACAGCCCATTTGGGTTTTTGGATAGGCATATATTGAATCAAAATCCGCTAAATAATCATATCTTACTACTTACAACTTTAGTTTTAAGAGTATATTTTCCCATACGTGTTCACCACCAAAATACACATATAAATCAAACTAGGACTAGAGTAAGGCAGTTATATATCAATTTACTTCAAATAAAATACCAATAAATTCGATTAAAACAGTTAACAGCTGTATGTTATCTCTTTTTGCTACTAAAATTTAGAATAAACATGGCTAAAGCAAGCTGCAGAACGTACGTCTGCCCCGCAATGAACAGTTGGTTGCCTATCCTATATTGACAACAGGCGTTTATAGTAAAATCTACGTTACGCGCGGTCTAGTTATAACAAGTCTCTGGCTTTACCCTTTTTACAAATTGCGTGATTGCCAACTCTCAAAAATGTATTAATCATCGTAGGATGATACACAGGGTGGATCCTCTCAAGGGCAGACAACACGTAGAAAGCAGGTAGAAAACACGTAGTGAGTGGGTAGAAAGCAGATAGAGGGCACGTGGATAGAAGGTAGAGAGCTGGTGGACAGCGGATATTGCGTGGGTGGAGAGTGGGTAGGGCGAAGGTAGAAAGCACGTAGAGAGCGGGTAGTGAGTGGATAGAGAGCGGGTAGAGAGCAGTTAGAGAAATGGTAGGAGCATGTAGTGAGCGTGTAGAAAGCGAGTAGAGAGTAGGTATAGAGAGAAGATAGAAAACGGGTAGAGAAGATCAGGTAAAGAGGAGGTAGAGAGCAGGTACAGAGCGGGTAGAGAGACTGTAGAGAACGGGTAGAGAGCAGGAAGAGATGAGGTAGAGATACCTACTCTACCGCCGACCGTCGAGGCGTGCGGACGTGTTTTCGTACGCCGCTCTGAAGTCCTCGTTGAATCGGTACATGAAGGAATGCTGATCTATCGTCATCCCGACTTCTGCGGGCGCCAAAAGGAAGAGGGCCGGGCCAATCTCCACTTCGCCTAAGGGAGAATTAATACGAGCGGGCCTCTACGAGAGCCCGACATCCCCGTCACCGGCCCTCCCGCCTCGTGAAAGCCCAAGGGCTATTTCCTCGCCATCTTTGACGCAACCACCACCGACCGCGACTACCTCCCAGGGGACACACGCAACTCCTGCAGCTTCGGATGCCAGCGCGCGGCGTCTTAACCTTCCCGCCGCGCTACAGGAAGACGCCTCCTTCCTGTCGCGCCTGCTCCTTCTTCATAGGCGCGCACAGGAAGACAAAACCAGGGAGCTCCTCCATTGGGCCATGTCAGGCACCCTATCCGAGCTGCAGGACGCTACCGACCGCCGGCTATCCCTGAGGTTTCCTGCGTCCCAGAGGAGGAAACCCCGAGTCCACCAACGGAAACTCCCGCCACCAAAGGGACTGTCGCACCGTAACCTATGCGAAGGCCCAAGAACTGTACGGAAAAGATCGCTCCCTCATCGAAGCTGCCCGAAGAGGAATTCATCACCCGAAACGGATAGCATTACCAAGACCACCTAGAGGTGCTTTCTAAAGTCATCCTCTATCGGCGCTTCACGCTAAATTCGTGGACAGCTTCGCGAACGGTCGTGTTTCCGAAGGACGGGGACCTGACTGACCCCATAACCATAGGGTCCGCCGCCCAGCGCTCAGCGCTTCCTCCACCGCATCATCGCGAGGGGCATTACTGCGGCGACGGACTTTTATCTTCTCCAGCGCGGCTTCCTACACCCGGAGGGCATCATGGTCAACACCCTCGCACTGGATTCGTACCTGCGAGGTAGAACATGCGGAGAGAAGGCACTAAACGTAGTCTCCCTCGACCTCCGGAAGGCCTTCGATACCGTGGCACACTCCTCCATCATACGTGCGCTATGGCGACATGGGATGAGCGAGCAGGTGGTGGAGTCACTATTGACTCCACCACCTGCTCGCTCATCATAACATAAGTTCACTCTCACCACGGCCACCACCACCATCCAGTGTGGCGCGGCTATCCAGCGAGCCGGTCCGGCCCACTCAAACGTCCAAGGAGCCTTTCAAAGCTTTTGGGGGCTTTTGAAGGTCTTCAAAAACCAAAAAATAGTGGCCAAGAGTCTCCCATAAAATTTAATTTGCAATTAAGAAAGATAAAAAGAGAAGGGATACGTTCAAGTATGATCTTTGGTTCAAGTAAGCTTTGCCGTCTAATCTACTGTACCTATTTACGCTTTTAGCAGTGGGCTTTATAAATTACTGTTTCTTGTAAAAAATGGATTTTAATTAATGTTAATTAATGCATTAAACTTAACTTAAATGGAAAAATTAGGTCTATAAAGTTAGCAGGGAGCATTTCCAGCAACGTGCCCTCATCACCGGTATGCGTACAACGAAAACGCGTCTCTCCTAAAAACAAACACATTTAGAAATGTTGGAAAAGTGGAAGTTTCAGGGATTCTTAAAGAATTTTGGAAATGTTTCAGAAACGTATAGCACATTTTAGAAATGAAAAGAAGTGATATGTTAGAAATTTTTAGAAATGCCTCTTCAATTTTGAAAATGTATGGAAAATTTCCTCTGGCTACCAGGAGGACATAAAGCGCTGTCCTTTCATTTTTACCTACCGTACATTGAACAGATGCAGACTTTTGCGACATAATGTAATACATTATATGCTAATGTGTACGAAATTTCGAAGATCTTGCTCTGGGTCCTCGATATTTATGTCCAAAAACCCTTTAATCTCAGTTTGTAATTTGCAAATGTTTCAGATTAATTTGTTAATATTCTTTGAATTTCCAGAAATCCACTGTTGCGACAAATCCAACAAAAGCAAATGCCGAGAAGCCTGCAAAAATGCGCTCCTGACCACAGTGACCCACCAAGAGGCGATCGATATGTTGGAACTGGGTGGTTGTGGCCTTCCATTACTGCAGGTAAGACTGAGAGTAGTTTGAAGTTAGGAATTAATCGAATGCTTTTAGGATCAATTTTGGCAATGCTTCTTCAAATCGGACGACACGGTAGCTACATCGGTCGAAGTGTCGCGGATAGAAAAAGTAGGAATGGATTCGGCAAAATGGCACTGTTGCCAGAAGGCGACAACAACCCACTGTAAAAGATTGTGTTCGAAAACGTTTAGAAAGGATTGGTCGACGTCTTGGGAACAATTTCATCTGAAATGTTTGAGCCAAGTGACCGAAGAGTCGCTGCGCAACTGCATTGATGAAGGTTTGTGGTGGAATAAATTTCCGGCTGTACACCACGTTTTTATTTTTAGTCGAGGAACCGTGCGAATTGGGATGCGATGGCCTCAGCTTTTGCACGAACTTCAATAATCGGCCGACAGAGCTGTTTCGTTCGTGCACCCCCCAAGCGGACGAAGCGGCTAGGAATGACGTCACGATATGGAATAGCCAAAACGACTTGAGCTTACCGGGACTTAATTTACCGCTCAAAAATATTTCGGAATGTTCGCCCAACACGTGGAAGACTGTCGCGTGTACTCTCCACATCAAACCGTGCTCTAGACATTCACACGCGAATCAGATCTGTCGCGATATTTGTCTAGATATTATTTCGCTTTGCATCGACTGGACGACCGTACCTTTGGAGCACACGCCCGAGTCGATTTGCGATAAGCTGTCGCCAGAACACCCGGACGTCTCCTGCATATCCCTGCAGAATTATTTGCGACCCGCTGATAATGTGTACCAAACGCCGAGCGGGCAAGTTTCGTCGCCGTGCAAAGGGGATCCGTGCGCTACCGATCAGGTCTGCATAGTCAACCGAAATTGTGTGGGAAGCTCTTGTTCGCCATACAAGTGCGTGCCCGGTTGCAAATTGGGGGAGGTGTCCGAGTACATGGTGCCAGACGGCACTTTCGTCAGAATACCCATGCCGAATAATCCGAAGGGATGTCTCCAAATTTGCAAGTGCAACAAGGGACGAATAGAATCGTGCCAACCCCTTCTTTGTGTCCCTCTAAATCCGTGCGTGGTCGGCAATGGAGAGTATAAGGAGCACGGGTCCGTCTACACCAAGGAGTGCAACACCTGCACTTGCTACGCTGAAGAGAACATCTGCACGAAAAAGCAGTGCCAAGCTAATTCGGTTACTGGAAATGATTCCACATTTACGACTTTGCCGTGCAATTATCCTCCACACTATATCCCAGTTTGTGGTAGAAATGGAAATACTTATCCGTCGTCTAGTTTGGCAAAGTATGTTAAATAATTATTCCTTAATTTAACTAGTTATTACAACTATTCAATTTTACGTTCTTTTGTTTTCCAGTATTAACGTCATACCGCTCGGTTTAAATGAAGAGGCTACTTTAATACTAGAGTTTTGAGCATAATGCGAATTTGACTCTTTTCAAATTATTTTTTCAAGTCATTTTTGAACGTATTTTAAGTGAATGAGAGAGGATCGGCTCTTGTGGGCCTCTATATCTTTTCGTATATGTTCCTTGACTCCAGCTTTAGAATTTGGAATATCCAGGTTTCATGTGGTATCTCCCTTGCGGGCCGTGGTATCTGCGGACTCTGGGGTCTCCAAGGCGTTTTTTTCTAAATAAATGCCACGGTTACTCCTGCCGTATACAGGTTTATGGATCTTATTTAGTTGTGCAGTACAGGACCTAATTGCAATGATTGCACCGTATTTGTGGATTGTTCGGTTTTTGAAGCGTTGACATAAATTCGTGGGTGTAAGGCAACCTAATAAACCCGTTCCGGCGTGATGAACCCTGTCAGTAGGGGCCGCCGGTTTCTCAATTTTGATACCCGTTACCGTACCTGTTACCAAAGGAAGAATGTTGGTTAGGATTTCTAAGGTCCACGTTAGTGTTGTGTTATAAGCTGTAGTCATTCGTAAGAGGAATGACGCCCTTACCATTACCTCTGATTCGTATATGGTAGATCTTAGTGCATGTAAATATATGTTATGTGTTACGTATTTATGGACTCTGTCACTCCCTAGTCCGTAGCGGTAATGCATAGCTGGACTCAAATATATTTATTTATTTGTTACTCAGTTGTAAACGTTGATTAACAAGACAAAACGCAAACGGGTAAACGTCATCTTTAAACGCTATTGACTTGTAAAACTGACAGCTGACGTGTAAAAATTTTACAAGTTAGTAATCTAGTAATTTCATTGGCCAGAATTAATGCGAAGTCTCTGTTACATGGATAACATGATATTTTAGACATTTCTTCAAGATTAATTTAAGAACTAATTATTTACGTTTACTATTGTTTACAAATGAGTAACAAATAAAATATTGTACATTATACGCCAGGTAATAGTTTTTACTGGCTCTAGGAGATGACAGGCTCGCCAGTCAATTTCTCCTATCGCCAATAAAAACTCACTTACCTGGCTAATAATGTAAAATACTATTGGTGCTAGGAGACGATTTTATTTGGAGCCTCTTCTTATCGCATAGCATTTGCCTTCGGTATGAACATGTATTCAGTGTTGCTGATGTTACACTTACTAAAGTAATTGCCTGTGCCCATGCCTCGCACACATGCTACACCAACCGCCAACCAGACTCGACCTTTTTGGTTGCAACGCCCGCCAGCACTCATACCTGGTCATCAGCAAATATGATGGCCAGCGTCGATACCACTGCGCGATCGAGACCGCCCATGACACCAAAACCATGTATCCATCATGGCAATCCACAGAATCGGTTCAAGGCACGACCCCTGCGGACAACCACCCAATACTCAAGATAGGTCCCAACACTGGCTTGCAGATTTGGCGTTTATTTTCTAAGGACGGAATTCCACTTCGTTGTTGAGCTCGATTTTCTTTTTTATAACATGTTCCCGCCTGTTAGGCCGGTCCTATATTGGAAGCGGAATTTCTCCCGACCAGACGGCCTGCGCGGGTCTGAAGAAAACAAACACATGACGCACCGTCGCCCCTCCTACATTGAAACCAGTGCACGTTCCGGGGAGGAGAGTCGGGTCTGAACTGGTCTGACAATCAATCAAACAGGTTCGTTTTTTCTTTCAGTTGCATGGAAGCTTTGGTGAAAACTAGCTGCAATGTGGGAGCGCCGAGTCTGGCACGGTCGGTCTCTGGCTTGGCAGCATCGGGGCAATGTAGGAGTAGCCTCAGGCATATTTTACCCATTTGGCTCTAGGCACATGCTATCCATTGAGGGTTATTGGACTGGCCCCACTCTCTGCCCTGTTATTTAAAAAGTAGTTGTAGGCAGACTTGGTTTTGTTTAACTGAATATGTCACTTCTTGATTCACTATATCCATATGGTCCATGTTTGTTAGCTAAAGACCGTGACAGAATTCAGCGAGTACAGAACCGTGCTTACGTTTCGTGTTCGGTATCAGGAAATATGACAGAATTTCGCACACCTTACCTCGTCTTGGTTGGTTGAATATCTTGGAAAGAAGGCGACTGCATGCTTCGTCACTTTTTAGAAAAGTGTAACTCATAAGATACCACCGTACCTGTACGATAAAATCACCTTCCGGACCGATGTACATCATTTAAATCTGAGGCACAGGGGTTTAGCTTCCATTCCTATACACAATTTAGCAATGTTTCAACGCTCTTTTTCAGTTAACATCTGCAAATTTTGTAATAATTCGGTGTATAGACAGTTATTGCCCGTGTCCGAAGATGCCTTTAAACGGAAAATTAAAAAATTATTAATCAGAGAGCGAAATTTAGCATAATTTAACATAATTTTATTATTGTTTTGTTTTTTTGTTTTTGTTTTTCTTTCCTTTGTTGGTAGGTAGTTACTTAGTAGATTTGTGCTTGTTTTCAATCAAAATTGAACTGCTAATTGTTTTATTTCGTAGAATCTATGTGTATAAATATATTCTTTATGTGTCTAGGGGTACAGGGGGAAGAACAGGTAACCTACTGGTTTATCTGACCCTGAACCTATTGGTTATGGTGTAGGAACCATTTTTTTTTCCTAATCAATAAAATCCATTATTATTATTATTGTCGGTGTTTCTTGTGAGAACTCAGGTCTAGCCTGGTTAACTAATCGCACGGATTAAAATCAAGTAACGATTAGTGTCTGTGTCTGTGTCTGGTGAAGTTATTTAGGGTCCTTAAAAAAAAATAAAATAAAAAAATAAAAAAATAAATAAAAATCACACACGTACATTGGACATCTAGGGATAATGTAATTCGTACTTACCAACATACCTATTGATGGGCACAATAGCCAACGCTATCAGGAAAGAGGAAAACAAAACAAAACAAAAAAAAAATCATTATAATAATTCCTGTAATTTTATTAAATGGAGTTTATTGTGTAAGTGTTTCTTTGGCTTTGCGTTTGGGTTGAATACGAGGGGGTTGTGATAACGTGGTGTGCTTCTGTGAAGAAGGAGTTTTGTGTTTTTTAATTGTATTTATGGTGTTTCTTTGTTCCTGAGGTCGTATTTGTGAGGTTGCTTGGGTTTTTTGTGGAGATATTGCAGTATTTTGTGAGCCTGTGGTGCTGTTAAGGTTTTTGCGTTTCGGTTGTATACGAGTGGGTTGTTTCTGAGAAGGAGTATTGTGTTTTTTAACTGTGCTAGGGCGTGTAACTTTATTGGATGGACCTTATTATTATTATTGTCGGTGTTTCTTGTGAGAACTCAGGTCTAGCCTGGTTAACTAATCGCACGGATTAAAATCAAGTAACGATTAGTGTCTGTGTCTGGTGAAGTTATGTAGGGTTCTAAAGAAAAATAAAAAATAAAATAATATTCGCACACTCACATTGGAAATCTAGGGATAGTATGTAATTCATACTTACCAACATAGCTATTAATGGCCCCAATAGTCAACGCTATCAGGAAAGAAGAAAACAAAACAAAAATATCATTATAATAATTCCTGTAATTTTATTAAATAGAGTTTATTGTGTAAGTGTTTCTTTGGCTTTGCGTTGGGGTTGAATACGAGTGGGTTGTGATAACGTGGTGTGTTTATGTGAAGAAGGAGTTTTGTGTTTTTTAATTGTATTTATGGTGTTTCTTTGTTCCTGAGGTCCTATTTGTGAGGTTGTTTGGGTTTTTGGTGGAGATATTGCAGTATTTTGTGAGCCTGTGGTGCTGTTAAGGTTTTTGCGCTTCGGTTGTATACGAGTGGGTTGTGACAATGTGGTGTGTTTATGTGAAGAAGGAGTTATGTGTTTTTTAAGTGTGCTAGGGCGTGTAACTTTATTGGGTGGACCTGTTTTTGTAGTGCATGTTGCGTTACTTGTATTTATGGTGTTTCTTTGTTCTTGACGTTGTATTTGTGTGGTTGCTTGGATTTTTGGTGGAGATATTACAGTATGTTGTGGGCGTGTAGTTCTGTTAAGGTTTTCGCGTTTCGGTTGAATACGAGTGGGTTGTGATAACGTGGTGTGTTTATGTGAAGAAGGAGTTTTGTGTTTTTTAACTGTGCTAGGACGTGTAACTTTATTGGGCGGACCTGTCTTTGTAGTGCAAGTTGCGTTACTTGTATTTATGGTGTTTCTTTGTTCTAGAGGTTGTGTTTGTGTTGTTGCTCGCATTATTGGTGGAGACATTACGGTATTTTGTGAGCCTCTAGTGCTGTTAAGGTTGCTGCGTTTGCGTTGAGTACGAGTGGGTTGTGATAACGAGGTGTGTTTCTGAGAGGAAAGAGTATTGTGTTTTTTAGCTGTGCTAGGACGTGTAACTTTATTGGGCGAGGGCGTCTTTGTAGTGCATGTTGCGTTACTTGTATTTATTGCGTTTGTTTGTTCAGGAAGTTGTGTTTGTGTGGTAGGTTGAGTTAAGGGTGGAGATATTACAGTATGTTGTGTGTCATGTTGTGAGTCTAAAGTGCTGTTTAGGCTTTTGCGTTTGGGCTGAATACTAATGGGTTGTGATAATGTGGTTTGCTTCAGAGGTGAATCTCTGAATGTAGTATATGTTGTATCATTTGTTGTACTTGTTTGTTCGGTAAGTTGTATTTGTGTGTTTGTTTGGGTTAGAGGTGGAGATATTACAGTATGTTGTGTACCGTGTTGTGAGCGAGTACTGTTGTTTACATGTATACGTTGTGGATCATATGTGTATGTAGTATATCTTGTGTTATGTTTAGAAATTTACGAACAATATGGCATGTGTTGATAATGACTGCTTTTTGTAAATGTTTGTATGTGTTTTTGTCTAAACCTAATAGTTGTAAATTGTGGTGTATTGTCTTTGGTATAACTCCGGTAGCACTAAGAACAATGGGAACTATAACAGTAGATTTCATTCTCCATTGCGTCTTAAGCTCGATAGCTATATCGGTGTATTTGCGGTGTTTTTCTGCATGTGTTTTAGTTAAGTTGTTAGTGTTGGGTATGGCAATGTCTATAATACAAATGGATTTTTGCGTTTTATCTATAAGTGTAATGTCTGGTCTATTATTGTGGATAGTTTTGTCTGTGAGTAGTGTCCTGTCCCAATATAATTTGTGTGTGTTGTTTTCAAGTATGATCTGTGGCGTGTATTTGTAATATGGTGTCTTATCTGTTATGAGATTGTGTTTAAGTGCTAATTTTTGATGTATGATTTTAGCTACCTGATCGTGTCGATGTTTGTATTCAGTTTGTGCAAGTCGTGTGCAATGCCGATATTATATGTTGGATTGTTTCTGATGTTTGTGAACAGAGTCGACAAGAATCATTTGTCACTGTTTTATCTTTATGTATGTGTTTTTTATAGTTGCGTGTATTAATGACCTGGTCTTGTATTGGTAACATGAAACCCTCAGTCTCCGGGAAGATATCACATTCAGACAACCAAGTGTGCGTTGCTATAGAATCAACACAATCCTGACTAACCTCTTGCGGAAATCGTCCATGTAACGGCTTTTGGTTCCATGTCTGTATGTTATTTGTGATGTATGTAAGTTTGGATGGAGGTGGGAGTATATTAGTTTCGTGTAGGTTAAGTGGTGTGTAAGATTTGTCTGCATATGTTACTGTTTTGTGTAGGACTGAAGTATCTGCTTTGTTATAAAAGTATTGTCGCAAATTGTGTATTTGTGTTTGGTGCAATATTTTTATAT